TTGCTTCAGTCTCTATTGCAGGGCTTGCCTCAACAGGGATAATTTGTGAAGCAGTCCTGGTTGGGCAGTTTGTTCCATCCATGATTGGCCTTGGGCCAGCATTGATGGGGAGGGTGGACTTATACCATTAGGGATTGTCCATGCAACAGTGTGACCAGCATTACGATCTCCTTCTATCTTCTGAGCAGAACTGTGGTGCCACAAAGCAATAGTGCTGAAGAGATATTAAAGCCCTTGTCAAAGGACTTATTTGGGTTGCTTTTGATTAAGTTCAGCTACGCTAGTCCTGTCCAACTTCACTTTTCGTTTTTACAGTATCATGTTGTATAAGTGAAATAACTGCACAATAAAAATATTTTAAGAGGCATATTCAACATGAATTACAATTGCCGGAGGATAAGCTCTTTCTGCTGCCCTGAGCCAAAACTGAAAATGTTGTTCTGCGCCAAGGGGAAGAAATAAAAAACCATAAAGCCTTGTCCTGTCTCTGGGTACTTGCCTTAATTTTGGCAAAGAAGCAAAACATCAAGTAAGTATATGCAAGGATGCATTAGGTACAGGACATCCAGTTCACAGAACATCCAGTAAGAGCAAAACGTACCATGGAGTCTGGTCGAAACAGCTTTGGAAACATTTTAGAAGGGTCCAGAGCCACAAAGGGCGTTATGTGTTGCAATGATCGTAGTCATTGGGCAAGCCAGCAGAAGAATGATTCTACAGCCTGCTGGTGAGGGCACCCACCTAGGATGTGAGAGACCCACGTTCCTGTCTCACTGCTCCAGTGATTCTTTAATTATTAATCCACAATACAGCAGCCAGGGCCGGCTCTAACTTTTTTGCCGCCCCAGGCAAAAAAGAAGAGCGCCACCCCGCCGTACCCCCCTCCCCCGCGAGTGCCGCCGAAATCCCCGCCCCCCCAGCACCACGCAACCCGAAGCCCGCCCCCTCCAAGCGCTGCGCCGCCTGAAGCCCCTGCCCCGCCTCCGAGCACCGCACAGCCCAAAGCCCCGCCCCCCTCCAAGCACCGCCCAAAGCCTCTGCCCTCCCATCCGAGCACCACGCTGCCCGAAGCCCCTGCCCCCGCTCCAAGCACCATGCCGCCCGAAGCCCCGCCCCCCCTCTGAGCACCATGCCACCCAAAGCCCCCCTCCGAGCACCATGCTGCCCAAAGCCCCGCCCCCTCCGAGCACCACGCCGCCCGAAGCCCCCGCCCCCCTTCCGAGCACCGCGCCGCCGAATAAAAAAAAAATAAAAAATCGAGCACCACCCTGCCCCAAGGTGCCGCCCCAAGCACGTGCTTGGTCGGCTGGTGCCTGGAGCCGGTCCTGACAGCGGCATCCATAGGAAAGCGTGAGGGAGACCTACACGAGAATAGCTCAGTGGTTAACACCCCCTCTCCCAAGAGGTGTTGGACTCCCCTATTCAAATCCTTTCTCCCCCCTCTGCCTGAAATGGGACTTGAACCTGGGTCTCCACAACCACTGGGTTTATAAATTATAAAACCACCACCTGCTTTTGAATTTGGATGGGACCCAATCCAGTGGTCAGGCTATAAGCCAGGGATCGGCAACCTTTGGCACGCGGCCTGTCAGGGAAATCCACTGGAGGGCCGGGACGATTTGTTTACCTGCAGCGTCCACAGGTTTGGCCGATCGCAGCTCCCACTGGCTGCGGTTCGCCGTTCCAGGCCAATGAGGGCTGCGGGAAGCGGCGCGAGCCAGTGGGAGCTGCGATTGGCCGAACCTGCGGACGCTGCAGGTAAACAAACCATCCCGGCCCACCAGCGGATTTCCCTGACGGGCCACGTGCCAAAGGTTGCCAATCCCTGCTATCAGCACACCTACCAGATCGTGCCCATGGGTGAGAGGTGCTCCTCCGCCTATCTTCCCCCTGGTTTGTGGCTCACGCTAGGTATTATGTAGGATATAGGTATCTAGACGTGGAGAAGGCGGCAGCGGTGCGCATGCTCAGAGGCAGAAACATAGGCACCTGTGGAAATTTCGGCACCAAGTGAGTTTAGGCACCTCCAGAGTTAGCCAGCGCTGAAGCGGGGGTTTTGTGGATTGTAGTGGTGCCTAAAACTGGGACTCATGCGCCTAAGTCAGGGGTTTAGGCATCTAAGTAATTTTGTGGCTCTGGGACAAAGTATATATGTATCCACTGCTGTTGTTTCCAGCTGCCCCAGGTTGCTGCATGCACATGGGATAAAGCACTGAGCACACTGCCAGTGCCAAGCAAATAATAACTAATAACAATGACACTGAGCACAGTCTAGAAGAAAAGAATATTCTAAGCCAAATGGAGTCCTGAAGAGAGAGCACTATCATTATTCATGACATTGAAACCACTACTGACATTCAGACCCTATCTCCAGTGGTTTCACTCCTTTCTCCACACATGCCTTCCACCCTTGATCAATTATTCACATTAAAGACCCACCCTAGATCAGCTATTCACTTTCTGTCCGGCATTTCATCAGTAGTTAATGGAACCAGTTTTAGGATTCTGGGGGACATCAGCATGACTTTTTAGGAGGGTCAGGGCCTTCATAATTTCTTCCCTCCACATGCCCCATAAATCCCCTTAATCCATCTTTCTTTGCACCCCTCTCAATCTCCTTTCCCTCTCCCTTTGTAATCAATGCACTGACACAGCAACACACCCCATGTAAAATATCCTGCTGTTTTGCAATTTGAGGCTTACTAGGAATGGAGGGGGACAGAGGACTTCACTTATTTTGAGGGTCCTAAAAGCCAGCAGCAATAGTTCATTCCACCCACCTATTCAGCTAAGATTTATCCCAGATATAAACATCACTGTAAAGTCCTACAAAGATGGTGATAGCAACCCACTAGTTGCAAACCCTTCTAAAATAAGAATAGATTCCTAAAAGTGCTCTCTAGTAGTACAATGGCAGCAATTGTCATGGTCCTGAACCATATTTGCAATAAATGGCACTTGCTGTTGATTAAATGCCACAGCTCCACTTCAGCATTTAATCAACAACAAGCTTATTATTTGCTTTGCATATATCAGTGCCATGGATATTATTCCTTCAATAAGCAATATAGCAAAATACATCCACACAGATTAAACTTAACTTCATACAGAGAGCTAAGATATGGAATTAATTTTCTCATAAAGGTCTGTTAGATGAGACACCAGTTCACTTGATGTACAAAACTAGGCTGTAATCACTAGGTTGAAAAGTGGATAGAAATTTACTCAAGCTATGAAGACCTTTTCCCCTTGAGTTTTGAATTAATTCTGGTAAGAAGTACAGTGTGAAGATTTCATATGCTTTCATTCAGAAAGGTGGGTTTCAATGCTAAGTATGGACATGCAGAAAGAACCTTTAGCTTCTTTCTTTTCCTCTTCAACTATGCGTCTGAAAGACGGTTATGTCTGATGGACAAATTCATGTGCAAAGTGCTCCATCTGGTGGTAAACACAAAAGCAGAGGCCATCAGGAACCATCAAGATTTCACAGAGAAAAGTCTCTGCTCCTCAACAAATTCTTAAAAGCCTCTTACAGTGGGAAAGTAGTCACTTGAGAGTTGAGTCAATGCAGTGGAGTTTTGTAGAACTCTGTAATATTTCTAATGCAGCTTTAAAGCAATTCTACTTGTTTTTGCTACAAATCTGTCACTCAGGCCAGAATATGTTGAAAGTTCTGCCAAGGACATTTTTATGAAGCCGGGCTGAGATTCATTCCAGCGAACCTGGGTAGCTTTATTGGGTAAATGGAAATGGGGCAAAGTGAAGTAGCAGTGATGTTCTGACAATGAGAAGGACATGGTGACATACAGATATCCCATTATCATGCTGCATCATGATGTGCCAAGGTAACAATAGGAAGTAAATGCCCTAACATTACAATATACCATTTTTCTCTCTCCGGACTACTCGCCTTCTCTGCATTGATGAAGTGGGAAACCTCAGCTGTGCTTCAGAGGTACTTTATGAACAGAGGGCCAGATCCAGAAATTTAAGAAAAAAAGATAAGACCTAGTGTAGACAAGGTCCTGGCTTCCTCTGTCAAAACATCCCCTTGTCGTGGCGGATGCAGCATCTGCACAGTTTGCCAAGTGTCCTGGGGCCTTTGGGGATGAGAGGTGCTGCATGTGCAATAGGGATCTTCGCAGGCCTGGCCCACAAAGGCTGCTGCCCCCTTCTAAAACATACTGAGGGGATGTGTATGTGTGTAACATGCTGTGTGTGAAACACTGTGCTGTTGTAAAAAGACGAGTTAAATCCTTGTTGAAACTGATGGGTGTGAACATGCCCTTCATTTAAAATAGCTGTCAGAGACAGTTTAGGGGCCCTACCTAAAACAATCTATAATGGAGTCTGCTCAGAAATTAACACCACATGGGCAGAGGGCTCCACTGGGCCAGTGTGTGTGTAACACATGATGTATGTGTGTGTGTGTGTGTGTAACACACTGTGGGTGTATGTAACACACGGTGTATGTGTAACACACTGGGGGTGTATGTCTATGAATGTGACACACGCTCTGTGTATGTAACACACGGTATGTGTGTGTGTGTGTGTGTGTAACACTGGGTGTATGTCTATGAATGTGACACACTGTGGGTGTATGTAACACACGGTGTGTGTGTGTGTAACACTGGGTGTATGTCTATGAATGTGACACACACTGTGGGTGTATGTAACACACGGTGTGTGTGTGTGTAACACACTGGAGGTGTATGTCTATGAATGTGACACACACTCTGTGTATGCAACACACGGGGTGTGTGTGTGTGTAACACTAGGGGTGTATGTCTATGAATGTGACACACACTCTGTGTATGTAACACACGGTGTGTGTGTGTGTGTGTGTGTAACACACTGGGGGTGTATGTCTATGAATGTGACACACACTGTGGGTGTATGTAACACACGGTGTGTGTGTGTGTGTGTGTGTATGCGACACACACCCTGCCCGAGGCGGGACCCAGACACCGCCCCCCCCCCTCGCCCCTTCCGGCCGCGCCGCTCGCCTGGGTAGCGCCGCCCTCTCGCTCGGCTCCCCAACATGGCGGCCAGCAGCGCCTCAGCCTCCGCTTCCGCCGCGGCGCCCCCCGGGGGCTCCAACCCGGCCGGGCCCGGCGGGGCCTCGGGCCTCACCGCCTCCATCACGGGCACCATGAACAAGAAGAAGAAGCCGTTCCTGGGCATGCCGGCGCCGCTGGGCTACGTGCCGGGCCTGGGCCGCGGGTGAGCGAGAGGCGGCCTGGGCCCCCCCGCCGCAGGGCCCCGCCTGCGCCCTCCCCCCGTGGAGTCGGGCCTGGGCCCCCGACCCAGCGCTGCGGGCCTGGGCTTTGGAGAGCCGGGACTGCCCGGCGCTCCGGGCGCAGTGTCCCTATTTCCCGCCCCCAACCTGTGTGTGTGTGTCTGTGTGTGTGTGTGTGCGCCCCCTCCCCCGGCCGTGCAGGCGCGGCCCCCCCATTGGTGGGTGGGGGGCGCTGGGGCTGCAGGGCCTGGGTCCCAGCGAGGCCAAAGAGAGCCCCTCTCCTGGCACCTTAAGTCTTGTTCGGCTGACCAGACAGCACGTGTGAAAAATCAGGACGGGGTGGGGGGTAATAGGAGCCTATATAAGGAAAAGACCCAAAATTAGGTCTGTCCCTATAAAATCCGGACATCTGATCACCCTAAGTCTTGCCCACATGAGACAGTTGTACCCCTGGGGTGAATTTAAACCGATTTAAATGGTGTAAGTACTCCACTTCCCCGAGCGGCGGTAGCTATGTGGATGGGAGAAGTTCTCCCGTTCTAAACCGGGTGTTAGGTTGGTGTAAGGCCCTCGCTCAGGGGTGTGGATTTGCGTTGGAAATGTCTACGCTGTGGTTGGTATACTACCTTGCTCAGGGGGTTGAAAACTCCACACTCCTGAGCGATCCAGTTAAACTGACAGTGGGGCTGCGCTTCTGTCAACCTAGCTACCGCCTCTCGGGGTGGATTACCGAAACAAACAATTTCGGCAACCTCTAGCATGCGGCTCACCAGGGTAAGCCCCCTAGTGGGCTGGGCTGGTTTGTTTACCTGCCGTGTCCGCAGGTTCGGCCGATCTCGGCTCCCCCTGGCCGTGGTTCGCCGCTCCAGGCCGATGTGGGCTGCGGAAAGTGGGAGCCAGCACATCCCTCGGCCTGCGCTGCTTCCCACATATTTTTAAAAAGGAGGTGGACCTGGAGGAGTGGCAGTGTTGGGATAATAGCTGGTGGGGAAACAGGGAGCAGGGCTGTATAAAACCTGGGTCCATTCTGCGTAAAACTGTCTCTTTAAGAGGACAGTTGTTCCTGCATGACATCACATCATTTAACTATGGGGGCCAGGTAACATACCTGTGAATTACAAGTTTGTTCTAAATGATCTGGACAAACTGGAGAAATGGTCTGAAGTAAATTCAATAAAGACAAATGCAAAGTACTCCATTTAGGAAGGAACAATCAGTTGCACACCTACAAAATGGGAAATGACTGCCTAGGAAGGAGTACTGTGGAAAGGGATCTTGGGTCACAGTGGATTACAAGCTAAATATGAGTCAACTGTAATGCTGTTGCAAAAAGAAAAAAGCAAACATAATTCTGGGATGTATTAGCAGGAGTGTTGTAAGCAAGACATGAGAAGTAATTCTTCAACTCTACTCCATGCCAGTTAGGCCTCAACTGGATTATTGTGTCCAGTTCTGGGCGCCGTAATTCTGGAAAGATGTGGACAAATTGGAGAAAGTCCAGAGAAGAGCAACAAAAATGATAAAAGGTCTAGAAAACATGACCTATGAAGGAAGATTGAAAAAATTGGGTTTGTTTAATATGGAAAAGAGAAGACAGAGAGGGGACATGATAATAGTTTTCAAATATATAAAAGGTTGTTACAAAGAGGAGGGAGAAAAATTGTTGTTAACCTCTGAGGATAGGACAAGAAGTAATGGGCTTAAATTGCAGCAAGGGAGGCTTAGGTTTGACATTAGGAAAAACTTCCTGTCAGGGTGGTTAAGCACTGGAATAAATTGCCTAGGGAGGTTGTGGAATCTCCATCATTGAAGATTTTTAAGAGCAGGTTAGACAAACACCTGTCAGGAATGGTCTAGATAATACTTAGTCCTGCCATAAGTGCAGGGGACTGGACTAGATGACCTCTCGAGGCCCTTCCAGTCCTATGAGTCTAAGATTTGTAATGCCTCACTTTCAGAGTGATTAAAACACACATCTGTATATTGTAGCACTATTGGTACAGGCTAAATCATGGCTACTGGTCTCTCACTATAGTGCCACGGGTTTTACCACCCGTTCTGATATTGGCCCAGCTCGAGATGCCAACGACCCAGTGGATGATCGTCATGCTCCGCCAGGGAAGAGAACTGTTGGGGACCAGATGAAGAAAAACCAGGCTGATGATGATGATGAAGATCTGAATGACACCAATTATGATGAGGTGATGCAGCTGTAGCATTCCTGTTAGCTTTTTCCTCCTGGCTGAGGGAGGTGTCTATAATTCTGCTCCCCTCTACCCCTGCACACACACACCACTAACCCCCTTCATAATGGCAAATCTCCAGTAGAGGAGACAAGGGCAGAGTTCCTTGTAGAGGCACTTAACACTACGTTTTGTTTGCATAGATGCCACAGCGTTTTTTGTGGTTTTCATTTTAATGTTTGTATATTATGGTTTAATTGTCCGTCCCATGCCCTGAGTATCTTGGGAGGGATATCTAAATAAAACATTAGTCTCGGTACTTTGTGGGATGCATCTTTCATCTGCCTCCAGAAATGAAATCTGAGCTCTGTTGCCCTTTGTTAAGGTTCCTTCCCCACTCTGAGCTCTACAGTACAGATGTGGGGACCTGCATGAAAATCTTTACGCTTAACTACCAGCTTAGATCTGCTTTTGCTGCCACCACCCAAATTATTTATGAGTTATTTGGGAAACTCTGTCTACCTCCCCCCCAGAATATTTCCCTCCCAAGTACTATAACCCTTCCCGGGGTAGCCTTGAGAGACTTCTCCACCAATTTCCTGGTGAACACCGATCCAAACCCTTGGATCTTAAAACAAGGAGAATTTAACCATTCCCCCTCCTTTCCCCCCACCAATTCCTGGTGAGTCCAGATCCAATCCCCTTGGATCTTAAATCAAGGAAAAATCAATCAAGTTCTTAAAAAGAAGGCTTTTAATTAAAGAAAGAAAGGTAAAAATCATCTCTGTAAAATCAGGATGGAAAATAACTTTACAGGGTAGTCAGATTCAAAGAGCCCAGAGGAACCCCCTCTAGCCTTAGGTTCAAAGTTACAGCAAACAGAGGTAAACCCTCTAGCAAAAGGAACATTTACAAGTTGAGAAAACAAAGGTAAACCTAACACGCCTTGCCTGGCTGTTACTTACAAGTCTGAAATATGAGAAACTTGTTCAGAAAGATTTGGAGAGCATGGATTGATGTCCGGTCCCTCTTAGTCCCAAGAGCGAACAACCCCCAAAACAAAGAGCACAAACAAAAGCCTTCCTCCCACCAAGATTTGAAAGTATCTTGTCCCCTTATTGGTCCTTTGGGTCAGGTGTCAGCCAGGTTACCTGAGCTTCTTAACCCTTTACAGGTAAAAGGATTTTGGTGTCTCTGGCCAGGAGGGATTTTATAGTATGGTACACAGGAGGGCTGTTACCCTTCCCTTTATAGTTATGACACCCTTTGACGTGTCATTGTCTTTATTTGGACTGTATAGTTGAACCAGGCAAAATTGAGGGAAATGGTTTTTCCTTATGGGAATTTTTATTTACTGAAAGGTTTTGCTGTTGAAATGCATACAGTATTGGCAAGGGCAGGGTTGCTTTTATTTAGGGTTGTGTTAGCCGGATGCTCTTGTTAGAAGCGGCTTGCTGAGGTCTTTTCCTTATCCCAAATTATGTTGATAACTGTGCTAGATATATAATAGCATCTTTAAACTGGAGTTACTGTGTTTAAAATTCTCAGTTTAACGGCTATGCGGGGAGCCTGTTCTCAAGTGGTCCATACGAAAAAGACGACGAGGAAGCTGATGCTATTTATGCAGCTTTGGATAAGAGAATGGATGAACGGAGAAAAGAGAGAAGGTATAATTATTGCACTGGCAGGAGAGGCATTATTTGCTGATTTTAGTGGGAGGTGGGTCTAGGAGTCAGAACTTGTGACTTCTGTTTCCAGCTCTTCCGCTGTCTCAATCTGTATTCTTGGGCAAATCTCTAAAAGGCAAAATGTTCAAAAGCAGCCACTGATTTTGGGTAGCCAATGTGAGAGATGCTGGGTCTGATTTTCAGAAGTGCTTGGCTTTTTGCATGACACCTTGAACAGATGTTAATACTGACTAGCTTCTCTTGCATATGGTTGAAATGGCTGAGGTTTGGTGATTTAGAGAGATGCTAATCCAAAACTAATATAATTGAACTTAAATGCATCACACAACAAGTGAGATATTGTTAGAAAAGTCTTCTAATCTAGATATTTTGTATGTTTATTAACAAACGTTACTAAAAACAGTATTTTATCAGATCCATAGGGAGCTGGAGATTAAAACTAAACATGGATGCAAAGTTCAATTTTTATTCTATAGTATTATTGCTTGAGGATCCTGAAATATGCCTTATTTGACTAGATATTTAATATTCTTCTGTAAATCGATAAATAACTTCAACTTGCTATATGCAGTATGTGTAACAGTTCTCTGATATAGGCTTATGCCTTAAGAGCTCTGACCAAACAGGTTTCTTCTATAATAATGGTACTGGATTTAGTGTTTCTGTGAGCTTGACTTCAGCACTCCTTATTTTCTAGAGAACAACGGGAGAAAGAGGAGATTGAAAAGTACCGTATGGAACGTCCCAAAATTCAGCAGCAGTTCTCAGATTTAAAAGTAAGGAGATAACTGTCCTACACATTATGAAGAAAATAGCCCATTTTAAGAGTGAAGAGATGGACTGACTTTGGGCATTTATTTGCACAGTTCCTATTCTATAGTATTTTCTATATGGGAATTTGTTAAGAATGTTATGCATGTCCCCTGCCTTCAGACTAGAACTGATTTCCATTGAACAATAGACAAAAATGGGTACGAAGGTAGTAGCTAGTGATGCAGAAACCAATTTTGGGCTGATAATGTCTTAAGTATTGTAGTATGATGTTTTGCATCGGGGACACAGGTGGTTGTTTTTTTACTGGTCAGTATTGATTTAAACCAAAGTACTGTTGGTATATGCCATTAACAGTAAATCAGTATGATTGGTAGTTTGTATGTGTGTACTGTGAGGATTGGTAGGATTAAATACTTACCAACCATTTAGTTGTAGGTGTCTGTGGTCATCGCCATTCCTTCCTCTCTGCCAAATGGGCATATTAGGGTATTGAAATAGACACAGATTTTGGTATCGGATCTTTTGGTATCGGATCTTTTTGGCTCCACAAGTGTAAACAAGCCCTGCACCCTGAGAGTGGGTTGGTCTGGTCACCCGGCTGAGAAGCTGCGTTGCAATTCTGCTTTTTTAAAATGTTCACGATTGACATAACTGATGTGGAGGGAGAAAAATTTCAGTCCTGACTCTCAACGTTTTCAAGATGGACATTGCGGTTAGTCAGATTAAACTACATATTCATAATACCCTGTTAAAATTTAAAAACAATCGCTACCAATTAGCGAGGCAAAAATATAAAAATATCAGGTTAAGATCCCAGTCTGTACAAAGAAGGTTCCTATTAAAAGTATACAACTCCCCTGTGCACTGAAATTCTTTAGTGTTGACCTTTTACTTCAAAATGGGACCCCACTGACCCTGAATTCTCTGAAACCAACGGATTGATAGTCTACTAAACAATAGAAAAATTTACAATTTTTCAAACAACATTTTCTAGAATCAGTAATGACCGCTTTTTTTTGTGTAGAGGAAGCTAGCGGAAGTCACAGAGGAAGAGTGGCTGAGTATTCCAGAAGTTGGTGATGCTAGGAACAAACGTCAGAGGAACCCACGTTATGAGAAACTGACTCCTGTTCCTGATAGTTTCTTTGCTAAACACTTACAGACTGGGGAGAATCACACTTCTGTGGACCCCCGGCAAACGGTGAGCATGAAAACAAACAAACATGGAGAAGTTACCGCTTTACCCATGTTAAATTGGAGAAAATGATTAATAGTAGCTAGACACAAGCACTTGCTGTGAAATGTGCCTTATTCTTAGCCTAGAACACATCCTGCAATTCCATTTAAAATAAAGACAAAGGCACTAGGCTTAACCCTTTCTTAAGTGAATAGCATATGGAAAGACCTCTTTAGTACAAGAGCCTTTAGAAGAGGTTGCTATGTGTTGCAGTCCCAGGCTTATTGAAAACTTCTATTTTATTCAGCAAACTCTGGAGCTGAGCAGAATCTGAGCAAGAATAATCAGATAGTCTTTTGTTTTAACAAGGGAAGATTCTAAAATTCTTTTGTTTTAGCTCTCTTTGGCTAAGGGGTGTCTAACTAATTTTGGTCAATGAACCAACGTATTTCTTATTGACTGAAACTTTTCCAAATATATAACATGAATTGGAGTCTAACTTCCTTTAGTGGCTGATGTATTCGATGTATTCTAGAATTAAGACATTTCACTTTCAGTTGACAGGTCAGTGGTTGAAGTTTTTGGATCATAATTAATTGTTTAAATGGATGCAGAGTACTGTGATCGGCTGATGGAAGAGAAAACTTATTGGACTTAAATTGATACCAAATGATTATATGATTTTATTGCTAATATTCTTTCAGTTAATATTGTCATTATCATCTTTTGACACTTCTTAATTAAATAAATCTGAGAACATACCTGTTCTCATGTTTTATTGTTGAATAGTGCCACTTGATGGTCCGTAGGAAGTTATTCAACTCCCAATATAAAAACCACTGTTCATACTGTGACTTGGGAGGCAATTGTTCAACTTGTACTGGCAATACTTTGGGGAAGATTTCCAAACTCATAAACATCTAGCACAGGGGTGGGCAAATTTTCTGGCCTGAGGGCTGCATCTGGGTATGGAAATTGTATTGCGGGCCATGAATGCCCGGTGGGGGAAGGGGACTGTATGGGGTGTAGCATGGGGGGGCTCTATAAGGGATGTTACCGAGGTGCGGGGAAGGGGGGCTCTACAGGGTGGTACCGGGGATTCCTAAAGGCCCTGCCGGCAGTGACACTAAGGCTGTCATACCAGGCACTGTCACAGGTAGAGGCACCCTAGTTGGGCTGGGTGCAGCCCCTGGGTGGTTTCGAGGCTCTCAAGGGTGGGGCCGTAGGAGACCGGGAGGGGATTGGGCGCCCTGCCGTATGGGACGGGTTTCCAATCCTGGAAACAGCACAGTGAAGTCGCGCCTGCGCAGTGTGGCTCTGCATGCCAGAAGATGCTCATCAACAGAATTGTGAGGTGGGGGCTGGAGAGTGCTGGGCGGGTGGAGCGAGGCAGGCCCCCAACCCCGCACACCGGCGGGAGCTCGAGGCCTGGAGAAAAACGTCTGACAGGCCGGAAGCGGCCCCTGGGCCGTAGTTTTCCCACCCCTGATCTAGCACCTATTGAAACTCCATAGGAGCTGGGCATCTAACTCCCTTGAGTTCTGTTGAAAATCCCAGCATAAACCTTAATAATATATCTCATATATCTCATTTTTTGGCAGCAATTTGGCGGTCTGAACACTCCGTATCCAGGGGGTTTGAACACTCCGTATCCAGGAGGAATGACACCTGGGCTAATGACACCTGGGACAGGTGAACTGGATATGAGGAAGATTGGGCAGGCCAGGAATACCTTGATGGATATGAGACTGAGCCAGGTAAGGCCACAGGAACACAATAACCCTGAAAGGTGTACCTGAGGTGTACCTGTTTTGTAATGAAGCCTGGTTTTTCAAAACTATTATTTTATTCTCTTTGGGATATTAAATAGTGAAAAAAACATTGAAAAGCAGAGCAATAATAATTAAAAGAATACCCTACAGCCCTTAGCTACAGGCCTGTTCTAGAGGAATTCTCTGGGAGATGGGTCAGTGCATTCTGGACCATCACAGAGGAGTTGAGCTTGCCAGTCAAGGCAGAAATGGACATCAGGTCTACAGAGTCAGTTTTTAGTTTGGTGCGATGGTTGTTCCTCTTCTCTTAATTAGTGAACCATTCAGTACACAACACTTACTCTGAAATGGTATCATGGAGTTCTATATTTATTTCAGTAATTTCAAGAGAAAATTTCATGCTGGTTCAGACGTGAAAAGCAGGGCTTTGGAGCTGTGCTCCGGCTCCGCTCCAGCTCCAGGCAAAAACCTGCAGCTCCACTGCTCCGGAGCTGCTCTGCGCTGCAACTCCAGGCTCCGCTCCAAAGCCGTGGTGAAAAGATGGCCTTTCTAACCACTAGCACTACACTCTCCCATGGGATCTGAAAGTCCAACTGTGTGCTTTTTGACTCTGTGGTGTATACTTGCAAATATTAAAGATTTGTCAGGCTAAATTGCACCCTTTGTTCTGCTTGTCCAACCTATTACCTGAGAGGGATTGCGCAGTTTAACTCAAGGCAAAATTTGGCCAGATGTTTGGAACTTAACTAACAGTCCTGTTGATTCAGGTGAAAGAATCCGTCTTCCTTTCCTATATCTGTGTTCTGTAGTGCTGTCACAGAAGTAAAAAATGCACCATGTCATTAACATCAGATATGATTGAATACATACACAGATTTTGTTTTTACATAGTCCTAGAATGTTGAATGAACAGGTACATTAAAGGCCAATGCCCATTAGCGACATACTCATGGGGATGTTTCTGTAGACAATATTACAAAAACTTTTTTCTTTTTCTCTAATTGTCCCTTCTCCCCAGTAAAATCAAATATTTAATTGTTACTTTACTCTTCAGCTAAATTCCTTAGTTAATCCTTTTGGGGATTTCCTTAAGCAAGCCAGTTTCATGTTATTTTTAATTGCAAGCTGGTACCAGTGCCATTTCTAGTAAAATTAACAGTTCTTATGTGTTTGCCAACTTTTTAAAACATAAAACTAGAGTGTATGTAATATTAACAAATGACGGTTCGTGGGTAGGGTGACTATCAGCGTTGGTGCCTGCAGCATGTTCTCGTGCCTTTGACAGTTCTCTTGACTGAAACCCACTCAATAGGACAGGTGATGTCAGATGCCCTTAACTTCTCCAAATTGAAGGACTTTTTGTAAGTCTACACCATTAAACTTTTGGTGACCTGGGTCAAATATCAAATGTAAACATTTTTCTGTAATTGGCATTGCATAATAAGTGCACTAGATTTCAAGATTGTAATTCAGTGGGAACATGGAAATTCAGTCCGTCATAGTTAAACATACAGACGCTACCTGGGCTATGCAAACCCAATTTACGGAAAAAGTTCCATACGTTTGATTTTTTTTTTTTTTGGCGCGCGCGTACTTGTCAGAGATACGTTTCCAACTTACGCAAAATTCGATTTGTGCAAAGAGTTCCGGAACAGAACGCTTGCGTAAGTTGGGGCGCTTCTGTATCTACACAGCACGTGCAGGCTATTTCTGCCTGCTTTCTCACATATAGAGAGGTTTGATTGCATCGCCTTGGTTTCAATTCCTATTTTCTGACTGTAACAGGGTCTAGCTAAAAAGCATCCTCAGTGGACAGGCTCCATCCTGCTTCGCAGATGTTCTTCTTCTCTACTCAGTCCTCCCCTCCCTGCTCCTTTACAAAGTTACTAGTGTTGGTACAAAAACTGTCTCCCCTGCAGCTGCCATTTGGAACACACTCAGTAACTTTCCCTTTAATTTCTAATCTCATTTGCAAACATTTTTCTCCTTTTGATTAAGCCTGTTAATTCCCCTCTCTGTTTGCTTAAACTCTGATAATATGGTTTAATTGTGTAAATCATTTTGGGATACATTGTGTATGAAAGATGCTCTGCAAAATAAAGCTGCATTGTCACTTGTTTTAGAAAAACAAACAAACAAACCATGGGTATAAGCAAAGTTCCAGTTTATTCCATTTTGGTTTTCATACCAGATGACCATGTAAGTTAAGAGAGAACAGTTTTTGTGTGTTTTCACTCTTAATGTATTTTTCATTGCCAAAACTGTAGTGCTCTGACTGGTAATTTCATCAGCTTTGGATTTACTTTCCCAGGTCTCTGACTCTGTGAGTGGCCAAACTGTGGTAGACCCAAAGGGATATCTGACAGACTTGAATTCTATGATACCTACACATGGAGGAGATATCAAGTAAGTCTAGTTTGGGGTGAATTGGTTTGGCATTTATTAATGGTTGACCCTTCTGCATGTAAATGGAAGTTTATATTTCTAATGTATCTGGCCAAAATGGCTTCCAGGTGACCTTTGTACATGTCTGAAGGATTCCACTCATTACTTTTTATTAATATGTTGTATTTGTGAAAATTGCTAGACTGATGGCATTGGAGACTGAAGTACCATAGGCCTGGTCCTGCAAGTTCTCCCTCACCAGCATACCTAGATTCCGGGCTTGGATGAGCTGCCTCTATGAGGGAGTACAGTCTCTTTACCCATTCGGTTCTTGTGTAGACTGCCTACAAGCATGCCAGATGTGCTGGCGGCTTTGTGATGCAGTTACTTATCTGCTAGGAAATAACCCAATACAATTCACACATGTTGCTGATCAGTGACTGCCCTTAGTCAATACTAACCTCATTTGACCTGGTGACATTGTGAAAATACCTGTAGCCCAATCTTCTGTGACATGTGTATTTAGTCATATAAAAAAGACTTACTTAGAATTAAGGTAGCATAAATCCATTTTCTCAGTGCCAGCACTAAAAATCCAGGAAGTTGCCAAGTGAAACCAACATTTACATGTGCAAGAACTTCAGCTCCTTTGCCTTAAATGTCCTAAGCCTTAATAGCCAAAAATGCTTACACACTTGTCAATTCCACAACAAGCTTTCACTTTCAGCATGCAACAAACCACAGTGCACACGTGCAACTCCTCAAAATCTCACTTAATATATGCAACCTTCACATTGACCTCACTTACATTAAAATATATTCTCCACAGTGTTGTAGTGGTCGTATATAATGTGTTATCTGTGTGTAAAAATGTCTGAGGTCTGAGTTAATTTACATCTGAGTGTGATTGTGAGGAACTGGGTGTGGGGAGCTTATTGGTGAAGGAGAGCTGTTCCTTAGCTTACTAAAAGCTTTGTGGTTTGTATTTTCTCCTTTACCAGTGACATCAAGAAAGCTCGTTTACTTCTGAAGTCTGTGCGGGAGACCAACCCTCATCATCCACCAGCTTGGATAGCTTCAGCCCGACTGGAAGAGGTTACTGGCAAACTGCAAGTAGCTCGAAACCTCATCATGAAGGGGACAGAAATGTGCCCCAAGGTCAGAGTTGTTTTGCCTCTCTGTGGATTATTGCAGAAATTTGTGAAAAGAGTGTGGTTAGTTCTCTTACTAAAAGCATATTTTCTTCCATTGAGCTTTTCAGTATAGATTAATATAACCACTCCTGTAACTTATCAGAGGAGCTGGAATAGTGTGTTTCCAAAAGCTCTAGTTTTAACTTGTAATGGGACTTTTGCCACTGTTTGCGCTGATGGAAAGGGTGTCAATTTCATTGTTTGCTGACCCACAGAGTGAAGATGTTTGGTTAGAAGCTGCCCGGCTGCAGCCTGGAGATACGGCTAAGGCTGTGGTGGCCCAGGCAGTCCGCCACCTCCCACAGTCTGTCCGGATTTATATCAGAGCAGCAGAACTGGAGACAGATATACGAGCAAAGAAACGTGTCCTTAGGAAAGGTGAGACCTTCTACAGGGTTATAACAACTAACCCTTCAATTTCCTGCAAGCGTTCTTCTAAAAAAAATAATAAAACATAAACTCTTTAAGGCATGGCCTGGGGTTTTAAATGTTATTCTTCTTGTCATCAGCAAGAACATATCCTTTCACACTATGTGTGATTAAACTGGAAATCATTGCTGCAGGAAGTTGTTGAGGCTAAGAACTTAATAGGATTGGATATAGAGTTATAGTTTTGACAACAAAAAATCTGGAAGGGATATTAAACCTTGTGCTTCAGGACTTAAGCCAGTCTCTAACTATTAAGAGACTTCCAAGAGGTGGGGTATTGTACTTTTCTCTGAAGCCTCTGGACAGAGGATTCAGGAGAATGGATTGGATAGATCTCCACTATGGAAATTCCTATGTTCCTATGACAAATAGTTTTTCTCTACATTATTTACTCAAATGCTTGCATCTTTTATGCTGTTGCCATCACAGCTCTCATCCATCTGAAGTGTACTGCCTCCTTCAAACTCATAATGCCTATTCAGTAACACAACAGTATGATTGGCACTTCTCTCTCATGACTGATCATCCCGGTGTGCTGAAATTAGAGGTCTTGCTCATGGCACCACAACATTAATTCTTTGGCTGCTTGAAGTCAATGTGCCAGTCCCATTTCAGAAGAGATTAAAACTACCTCCTTGTCAAGTTGCTGAATCCTAGCATTTAAATTCTGTTACGAACACTCAGAGTTACTGCAGTTTTCTAGGTGTCCAGGGAACAGGATAAGGATTTAATGTCTTTGTAGATCTTTAATATGCATCAATTCACAGTATTAAATGACTGCATAGCATCTAGTACGATTACTGCAAGGATTAGGACCAAGGGAAGTAAATTGCCTCCTATCTGACTGTTGCAGTTGGTTATCTGTGATGAAATGACACTTGTGTTGTACTTGCCAACATTTGAATAAAAGATTTGCGCTTCAGCTGTTGTTCTGGAACTTGCAAGAGTTCAGATATTTATTTTGTGTGGGGCTTTTTAATTATGGGTTAGATACTGCAAAAGAATTTGTTCTGCAATGTGCTGCTAAACACAGCTGCTGCTATTAAACTGTGTGCGCCTATAAAAGTTGCAGTAAGTATTAAATAGAAAAACAGATGTTAGTCATATGAGAAAGTGATAGATTTCTGGATGTGTCTTGTGAGCTGGATTATAACGATGATTTACAGCATGTTAAGTACACAAGTTATTTTATTTTTTTCCGTCTGATGTTTAAATGATTAGAGATATTGTATGTTCTGTGAGCAGCTTTCAGTTTTCAGTTCAGAATATTATCTGGTAAGAAGTTTGGTGTATAGCTGTTTATGTTGGTGGAAAAGAATATAAATGTATCATGCTGCTTCTAATTTCCACATGTTACTATCTGCTTCATGGTGTTCCTCGGCTACTGCGTCCTATGGTGCAGCACAGAACTGAGGCCTGGAGGTATTTGGATCAGGAATCACGTGAAGACTGGCAATTTTAACCAGTATTTACCAGAAAATAATCAGGGCTAAGTGCCAAGTAGCAGCACTGAAATATGATCCTGTAATGTGCTTCTCTTTTGTTTCTGTGGGTTGTATGATCCTATCACCCAGCAAACACTCTAGAGCGTCTAATGCTTTTATCCTCTCTAGTGAGGCAGCAAACTGAGGGCTAGAATCCATTTTGAGGTGTAGAAATTAATGCTGTGTCTGTGAAGACATGCTCTTTCCTGCCGAGTAGCACTTAAAGCTATCAAAGGCTGACATTACTCATTTAGAATGCTTTAAGAAAAGCTCCTGCCACTATAAACTTGATGAAGAACAGTTAACGTCCAGCTAGTCAGAATACCATAATCATTTTCTGTATGTATTTCCTTCTGGTTTTGAGTCCGAGAGAAGCTCAGGATAACAATCTTTGTCTTCCCTGGACCTTTGTTGGAACAATTAAAGGGACACCATTAATTTGAAACCTGCTCAACTTCAAAAACTGAGATTTTAAAAGTAATTTCAGATGTTACACTTGCCTTGGAATCATCTTTCAATTTTTTTGTGGTTTTACAATCACATTTTCCTGTTTTTAAAAAGGTTTCTCTTCCTTGTTGCTATAACATTCCCATATAAGCATGGGAAAGACTAACCAGACAGAAAAAACAATGAAACTGAATGTACACTAAGTGCATCAAATAAAAAACACCTGAAAAGTAGAGAAATATTCTGTTGTTGCAGTCTTTTGGTGTTGCTTGTAGTAACAAAAGAACACCCTCTGTCATATCCATTTTTGTCAGAATTAATCCTTACATGCTTGTTTTTATACCTGAGTGAAAGATGCAGTAACAAAATGCATGTCCTAAGGAGCTAAAACATTTGTCATAATGTTCTAAAATTGATTTGAACCCTACTTAGACCTGTAATATCTAACAGCTCTAAAATCTCAAACTGGGCACAGTCAAGATTAAGTGGAAAAGCCTTTAACTTGCACAGCAGTTGTCTGAAAATCAGTTTTGTTTGGCTTGAAATGGGGAAACAGTGCTTTATGGTTCCTTGCTTTCCTGATTTTTGTGTTCTGACAACTGTTGAAGCAGTTTCTGAAAGAGTTAACACAGATGTTACAAGTTAAGACTTTTGCAGCCTGTGAAATTTCAGGCTAGATTTTGCTCCAATTCTTCCATCTTGTATTGGCTGAAGAGAAACAAAAGGACCTTCTGCTTTGGAAAAATGGTACTTTTTCTCCCTCTCCAACTTCACTTTTATTTTTCAGTGAGCAAAACTGTTTTAAAATTTTTTTTTAAGACTTCCTCTATGAAAGAAAAGGGATGCTATGTTTGCAGAAATGATTATTGCTAGTACAGCATTCTCTCTCTTGTAAAAGCCTTCTTTCCCAAGATTCATATTATTATTTGACCTTTCTAGCCCTCGAGCATGTTCCGAACTCAGTACGCTTGTGGAAGGCAGCAGTGGAGTTAGAAGAACCTGAAGATGCTAGGATAATGCTGAGCCGAGCAGTGGAATGCTGTCCAACCAGCGTGGAAGTAAGTCAACAAATCTCTCTCTCCTTCAGGTTAAGGATATTCCTATAGAAAGGGTCTGATGTTTACAAGCTTTGAAAAGCAAAGTTGACAGTAAAGTGCAGTGTGCGGATTTACCAGGCCTTTTAACTGACCAGCAAGACAGGTCTGGCAGTATCTTTCTGGGTTAATTTGTACGCCTCAGGTGGTGGTTTTCAGCATGTTTTTACATGTCATTTTGTTGTGTACTTGTTACTGTAATTGTACATGTAAATTGGGTAATTGTACCCATAAATGGCTAGTTAGGCATATTTGCTTGCACAGTTACCTAATTTGCACATGCATTTATGATAATTGCACAAACACACATGTTACTTAAGCCGCTGTTTTATTCACTTTAAAAACATTGAACCATATACTGAGCTATAAATCCAACTGACAACACAATAGAAAATATTACTGCAGAAGTTCAACAGAGACAACATATTCACACATTTGGAATAAGAGGTATTTGAATTTTCAAGGCCAGTGGTAAACTCTGATTATTTTACTACTTATATATTGGCATCTTCCAGCCTCGTTCTAGTGTGAGATGGGGAGAATCTACCAGAGTATATATCTGCATGGTGCAAAGCCTTCTCTCTCGCCTGTTGACGGGGCAGATACTGCTGTATGAAGTGTTGTCGTCTCCTTGTTTTAATATCTAACTTGTTGTTGCTGTCCAGTTATGGCTTGCTCTGGCAAGGCTGGAGACATATGAGAATGCTCGCAAAGTCTTAAACAAAGCCCGTGAGAACATTCCAACAGACCGTCACATTTGGATAACTGCTGCCAAACTGGAGGAAGCCAATGGAAACACTCAGATGGTGGAGAAAATCATTGACAGAGCTATCACGTCCCTCAGGGCAAATGGGGTAGAAATCAACAGGGAGCAGTGGATCCAGGTACTTGTGTGTGTTCTCTTTTTAAAAAACCCTTCTGTGCATGCTAGTATTGGGCTCCAGTCAGACATTTCAGATTATGCATTCTCTTCCCACTCTGAAGCCCACTGATGCAAAATAATATAGAACTTAACATTTCTGATATCAACCAGTGTCCCATGTCCGAGTCACTTCTGATCAATAACTATCTGAGCTGGAAGGAACCAGGCTAGTGCCATGATTAAGTGGTATGTCTGGGAGTAACGTGCAATCTAGCTGGAGAATGTACTTTACTGTAGTCAGATTTACGTCTTTTTTGAACTGTGCTACTTCAAGCAGCTGCTGTATGAGGCACAAGTCTCAAGCTGTGCTTTTGTGTATTACCTACACCTGGATTTATTGGTTTAAAAACCATCTACTCACCAAAAGGAGGCCTTTTCCGACAACACATTACAAGAAATGGGTGTAATTGATTGCATGTGGACAGCAGAAAGTAGTGGAGCGATTTTGTGCAGTGTCCACATCTGAATGTTTTGGTAACAATGAAGCCTGCAAAGCCCCTGGATTGGCAATAGCCTCTGCAATGTACCTCTCACTTGGCTTAATGTTCTAATCCTTCTGTTTAAAAAATTGGACTTGAAAAGCAGAAAATTATTTTAAAATAACTTATAAAATAGTTTATTGGCCTAAAGCACTTGGTGGAGTGCATGAAGGCAGCAAAGTGTTTTCATATGTTCTTGTTCTGAATGCAAACTAAAATTCAAGTAAGGCAGTGTCTGAGCCGACCCCCGTTAACTTGAATCTCATATATGCACTGAGACAAGGTGGGTGAGGTAATGTATGTTATTGGATCAACTTCTGTTGGTGAAAGAGACAAGCTTTTGAGCTACACAGAGCTTTTCTTCACATCTGCGTTGCACATTTGGCACACCACTCAAAAGAATTTCAGTAAGGAAACTAATTTTTTTAATTATAAAACTACCATTCCCATTATCATTTAAACCAGATACAACTTCATTTATAGCAATAGGAGCCAATCTAATGAGGGTTGAAATTAAACTTCCATTATAAACCTGGCTGTCCTCCTTTCTCAAACTTCTGTGGTGCTGGAATTTTCCATGCTGAATGTCCTGTCAGAAGTAGAATTTATTTTGCAGGTTTCAACAAAATCTGCTTAGCCTTTTTTGAGTTGTGTATATTAAAACAAACCTTTTCCCCTGTGTATTCTGATAAATGTGCCAAATGTTTCTTAACTTGGTGGTGGGTGGCCGACAGGGTTTTATTTAAACATTGAGATCTGAGAATCAAGGCAAACATAAAGGAAGTTCAGTAATTTTGAGGTTATGAGCATTGATGCCACCATCCTCCGTTTGTGTATTTGTTTTCATACACAGGATTTTTGTTAGGTTTCATGGCTCAGTCTGTCTTGGAGCATTTCTCATCTTCTCATGCTCTCTCTCCCCAATTCCTTTCATAGTTTTCAGCATTTTATTTTGGAAAAATCCACAGTTGGCTCAGTCCAAAGGGAATCAGTGAAATGGAGAGAGGACCCTTCCAGGCTGGAGAGGTCATGCTTTGTCAGTCCGTCTCCTGCTCAAAGGATGCAATAGAATGTGCTTCTCCTTTGCTGGCTTTTCACACTGAAATAACGGATTGTCTTAGTGTTGCTCTCATTGTCTCTAGGATGCTGAGGAGTGTGATAAAGCTGGGAGTGTGGCTACGTGTCAGGCTATTATGCGAGCCGTGATTGGGATTGGGATCGAAGAGGAAGATCGGAAACATACCTGGATGGAAGATGCAGATAGTGTATGTCTGATTAGGACCCTTCTGTTTTCTTTTAATTATAGTAGGGGAAAGGGACTGACAATTGGGAAGTTAGATCTATTTTTTGTGAAAATAAAGGGCTGATATTACTGGCCAGATGCCAACAGACTCTGTGCAAGCTTGTCTCTGAGTTCTGTCAGCACTTCTCAGTTTTGAGTTGCAGCAACCTTCTAGAGACGTTCTAGAGACTGCTAGTTGTGCAGAAATTTTGCAATTGTTTTTGTAATCTGAGTAGATATTGTAGGCCAAGATGGCAATTTTCAAAGGAACCTAAGGGAATTAGGTGGCAGATTTCCTTAGGCTCCTTTGAAAATTCTAGCTCAAATGTTTACATAATCTAACTGGATTTCTTTGTCAATCTGGAACAGATTGAATATGCACTGACAACTAAATTACCAGTATTACTTTTATAAAACTTCCAAAGCTACATTTTCAATATGTTGACCTGGAATTGACCCTACAAACTATGAGTGCACATGTAATCATGCTAACCAGCAAGTTCTGTAGGCAAGCCATGCATATGCAAGCATATAGGACCAATTTTAAAAACATTGGATTTTTAAAATCACCTAAATGACGTAAGAGCACAAGCCCAATTGAAAATCAATGGCATGCGTGTTCCTGGGACTCCTAGGTGCTTGTGAGAATCCCACCATTGCACCTTATTTAGAGTAAAACATTATTCCGAATCCAGTATATATTTAATTTCTGCTAAGTGATTGCTATTCAGATGTTTGTCCTGTTGTTATTATATGTACTTGGTAAATACCACTCACCGGAATTCTTGTAAAACCTTGAGCTCTGTCTCACCATTGATATGTACATCATTCTATCCTGCACTTTATATCTCTAGGCCCTGTACTGACTCCCTTTGGATTTTCTCCCCTCCCTTCATTTTTCTCTAGTGTGTTGCTCACAATGCCCTAGAGTGTGCTCGGGCAATTTATGCTTATGCCTTACAAGTTTTCCCAAGCAAGAAAAGTGTTTGGTTGCGAGCAGCTTACTTTGAAAAGAACCACGGAACCAGGTACGTATGCTGCATAATTCTCACGCTACCAAAAGGGTGTTCTTACAGTTCTAAAGTATGTGGGTTGGGGTTGGTGTAGGCAGAGAAGCTAATAAATTGACCATAAACTATTGAATAATAGGATTTAGAAAATCTGAGCTGGTGAAAACCCATTGGAATTGTATGCAGAGCTGAGTTTAATTTCTTATGGTGGTAGACAGCACCTACTACTGGTGTGAAGTCATTAAAAATCCTCTTGGTGAATGGGGCAACCTGGTATGTGGGAATGATATGGAGGTGGTGTTAAACCTCTTGGGAATGGGACACCTGAGAAATGGTGGGAATGTAGGATGGTAAGTCACTTGTTTCATTTAAACTTCTCTAGGTTCGCTGGTTGATCAGTGAGCCAGTGTGTGTGCAGAGAGGCCCTCAGTCAGGTTTTAATTAAAAATGTTGCTAATTTGTATCAGGTAAATGTTCTGATTAAGATCACTCTTGAACTTAAACTTGAAAAGAAAAGCCAAACTGCAGATAGTGTATCTTAAAGCTTGTGCTGTGTCACATGCATCTAATACTTTCTCCTTAGAAAGCTTGGAAGAGGGGCTAAACTTGTAAGGGCCTATGGCCGCAATGCTACAGACACACTGGCAAGTAATCCTGTTAAAGCCAATGAGACTACTCAGATGTAACTGATGGCGGGATCTGGGACTTAGCTTGTAATGTTCGAGCACTTTCTCAACATGTTGTTTGTTTTCCCTCCACCGCTGTCAGTAGCCTTTCAAGTTTCCTGGTGGTGACTGACTTTTAGCCCCCTCATTTCATTTGTAAAATACATTTTTACTCTACTGAAAACATAACCTCTTATCGGTGTGATCCAGGCTACTCCAGCTGATAATGCTGGAAAAGACTTCTTCCACAGTTGCCACCGTATCTAGTACGGTGTATTGTTTAGCTGAACAGCACTTTCCAAAACACACAAGCTGCCTATGAGGTCTCTCCATAAACACTTGCTTCACATGATGGTGTCTTAACAACGATTCACTTTTTGTAGAGCCCTTTTCAGAAGTTGATTTTAGAAACTTCATGGGAAAAGAACCCATCCCCATCTCCTTATGACATGATTTATCAAAGTTTATAGCATTGGACTTTGCAACAATAACTATTTATAACATCGAGTAATAGTGGAAGTAGGATCCGGCAGTTCAGCTTTATAGATGTGCCTTCGTGTTATCATAGCTCACATTTTCTCCTTTCAGGGAATCGCTGGAGGCTCTCTTGCAGAGAGCTGTGGCGCACTGTCCTAAAGCAGAAGTGCTGTGGCTCATGGGAGCCAAATCAAAGTGGCTGGCTGGAGATGTGCCTGCAGCCAGAAGCATTTTGGCCCTGGCTTTCCAGGTGGGTGTAGCCTTCATTTGACAGACTTGAGCACGTGGCAGATGCATAAATTAATTACTGCCAGGATGGGACAGAGCAAAGCAAATGAATAGGTCCTTTCTAGAGAGGGCTCTGAGCTCCTGCAGCAGCAAAGTTAGCCTTTCAAAATGGCACCATTCCTTTTTGGTTCTGTGTTTCCCCAATAGAATAGAGAAGCAGGCTGGAAGCAACCCTATAGACTGCAACCCTTTCAACATTGCCGCTCCCAGTCCAATTTCTCCGATTAGCAGTGTCCCCGCTATCAGCAGGTTCCTCTGGATGAATTAGTCTACTTCCTCCATTCATTGAAATGTAACGGTTTGGATTCCAGAACCAGGATCACACCCACAAATAGTGCATGTTTGCCCCCTGTAATTGTCTGTAGCCTGGACCAGTATAATCAGCCTACTACAAAATGAAGGAAGTTATCCTCCAGACACTGAAAGGAGTAGGGAGCTCCATAGTGCTGATGCTGAGGAGAGCGGGGCCTCCAAAGCAGAGTGGTAGTAAAACTGAATGACAGCAGAGACTCGTTCTTACTGGAGGTGACTGATTTTTGATTCCACAGCTAGGTTCTGGGAACTTTTAATTGTTCTTAGAGCTCTGAACCTTTCCCAGCATTGATGCCCCAAAGTTATTTGTATTGCAGGAGCACTTACAGACCCCAGTCAGGGATCAAGGGTTCATTTTGCCAGGCACTGTCTACAGGGGTAATAAAAAAGTCCCTGCGTCAGCGTTATAATCTTTTCACTACTTTAATTGACGGTTCAGAAGAAGGTTCAAGGACCAACTCTTCTGAGCAGTTTAGAAATGAAATGTCCATTCCTAAACTGGCGTAGATCCTTGGATTGTGGGTCTGTTTGGGAGAACTCTTTGTAACCTTAAAAGGCCATAGATGAATGATTGGGAAGAGCTTGAACTGAAAGAATCCTGGTGCTGATCGACAAGGGCCTGATTACAGTTTAAATCTGAACCAAACAAAGGATTAAATCTTCTGATGAATCAGACTATATATTTGTCACTCTGTTCTCCTAGGCCAACCCCAACAGTGAAGAGATCTGGCTGGCTGCTGTGAAGCTGGAGTCTGAAAACAACGAATATGAAAGAGCGAGGAGATTACTGGCGAAAGCACGTAGCAGTGCCCCCACAGCCAGAGTAAGAACATGTGATGGGTGGAACGACAGTCTTCTTTTGATATGGGGGAGACGGGAGGGAAGAAGAGGGAGTTCCTTCACTTTCATGACCCCAGAGACGTACCAGCTGGCATCCTGCTATTTGTTTTTTGCAGGGACGTGGCTGATTTGTTAAAGTGTTTCCCCAGTGCATTGCAACATGAAGTAAACGTATTATGGAGAAAAAAGTCTGGGATCAAATAAAACTTTAGATTGTTACCCAGATGGCAAAAGTCAAGAAATTCCCAGTTACAGCTGACAGTTTATGTAATAGTCATGTTACATAAAGCATGTCTTGCATTTCATTTCTCGCTTTTAAAAATGAAACTCTCCTATTTGTAGGGAAGACTTTCTAGTGCGTATTTTTTTGAGTTCCTAATACAGGCATATTATCTAAAAGGCCCGACTATTCTGGTTTGTGATACAAAACTACATTGGTGTATCAGTCTGAAGGATGTCGCTAGCAATATTATTTGTAGTCAAAAGTTATTTTGCCAGTTTTCAACTGGACCATTTTAAAACACCCTCCCACCCCACCCCTCAAACAAAATACATCTAGTCTATGTAATGGGGAAAATAAATCAAGATTTAATTTAAAAAAATTACCTCTCATCCTTGATCTTTTAAACATTCCTCTCTACCTGGCAGTCAGGGTTGTGAAACTTGTGTATGTCAGATTCAATGCTGTTGCTCCTTGGATGGGCTATTGGGGGCATTCAAGTGCGTGGGAAGCTAATAGTATCTAAACATCTTGCAGTCTGTATTTGATTTTTGGTTTTAGTCTGTCACAATCTGGACCAGCAAGAAGCACTTTGCCTCTCAATAATGGCCCTTCTAAATGGTAAAGGAAAGAATTGAAAGCAGTATGTGGCAGTCCTTAGCCTTCTGGTTCAGAGCTTTGGACTGTGGGGAAGGAGAAAAAGAGGTCCTGGGAGCCACATTTACAAGTGTGGTAGAGACCTGGGAAAGGAAAGTGGGGTGTGGTAGGAAAGCCAGTGAGCAAATTCATGTTCATGTGCTCTTCTACTGCCTAAATATTTTTGCCTGGAATACTTCTTTAATATCACTATCTGCACTCTGCTTACAGTTGGGGCAAAGGTTAAGGTTGATCATGTTGTTCCAACTCCTGGATAACTTTTGTGTTGATCTCCAGCAGTTGCTGACTCCCAGAATTTTTTTAGCCTTAATTTTCATGTTTTCAGAAGCCTGTTCCTAGTCTATGCATGTAATAGGTGTATGTTTGTGGAACAAGGAATCCACTGCATTGATATGTTACTGGATCAATAACTGCTAATGAGAAAGCACCTTCTTGTCTGGTCTCAGGTCTTTATGAAGTCTGTGAAATTGGAATGGGTGCTCGGGAACATTGCTGCTGCCCAGGAGCTCTGTGAGGAAGCCCTGAAGCACTATGAAGACTTCCCCAAGCTGTGGATGATGAAAGGGCAGATTGAGGAGCAAGACGAGCTAATAGAAAAAGCTCGGGAAGCCTATAATCAAGGGGTAAGGATGGACATGATTCCATCTCTGCTTCATTCTTCCAGTATAGGGAAATCATGTATTGACTGTCTTCCTCAAAGCAAAAGCCGTAACTTGTAGGAATCTGTCCCTGGTAGGCTGGATGCTGACATCTTGCTAAAAGGGTAGAATGATCACATAGGAATGGCTATGTGATGAGGATGAGCAAAGGATGAACATCTAAACCAGAGTCTCTGGATAGAATGTATCCTCCACTAGATCATTCCAGGTTACATATATTTGGTGCATTCAGATTTGTCTGCATAAAATGGGAGGCTAATCTCTTCTTTGCCACACATTCATGCTCTGTAGTATAAACATCAAACCACACATCCAAGTAGATTGACTGTCGTTATGCTATAGCTGAGTTACCTGTTCTTTAGGTTGTATTGACAATGTTAAGAGGAAGCTGGCCAGATGCTTGTTCTTGATTGGGGGGAGGGAGAATTCAAGCTCCCCTTTTAAAATATTTACTTTTTCTACTTAATATTCTAATGGCTATCAAAGGAAAAAAGTGCCCATTGGTAGGTTTTACGAGGAACAAAGTGCAAGGAGAGAGTTTATGTAGTCCAAAGAGATGCATTAGCCACCAAAAAGGTGCATGCTGCCATATACTTCAGATATGTTTGGGGCATGTCTTGGGAGTGATGTGGAATAAGAGAGTGAATGATCTTAAAATTAGCCATGAAACTGATGTGGAGACATGTTAGTAATTGGAGGCTAAAAGTGGCCTAAAGTCCCTTAATGTCAAAGGAAACCTAATTTTGGATACCATGTTCTCCTCTGCTGGTGCAGCGCTTTATGTTCCATCTCAAGGCAGCACAGATTTTAAATACACCCATTAGTCAAGGTGTGTTTCCTCATAACACTGAGGGGGCTCAGTAATATACAATGCATTGCCCTCTTTTTCCCTGGAACTTCAGGAGACGAGACAAAAAACTATTTTTTGCAGGGATTCCTATCATAAAACTCACCAGAAAGGGTGTGGAAAATGATCCAGTGATATCAGTGACTCCCATTTCCCCCTTCTCACACACTCTGCAAAGATAGAGTTTCATTGGGGATTCGCTTCTCTGGAAGTTGCTCTGCAGCTTTGGTATAAAATCAGTCAATACTATAAACTCCCTGTCGTCATCTCTCCCTGTTGCCCCAAACCCTGGTTTGTTTGCTTTCTTTTAAACAGTTGAAGAAGTGCCCCCATTCCACACCCCTGTGGCTCTTGCTGTCCAGGCTGGAGGAAAAAGTTGGGCAACTGACCAGAGCAAGAGCCATCTTGGAGAAGTCTCGCTTGAAGAATCCAAAGAATCCAGACCTCTGGTGAGTAGTGTAGAGCTGACCTAAGTACACACGAACAACACAGGCAATGTATTCTTTATGCTAACCACCTTGCACCCTTCCCCAATCTCCTGCCATCTGAGCATGGATTCTCTATTATCGCATACAGCCAGAAGGAAGTCCTGGGTATTTCACTCTTTTGCTTTGGAGACAACAATTCCCTTCTGAATATGTGTAGTCCTCTGGGGGGCTCATCTAGGACACAGCTGCCATCATGTTACTTGTTCTGGGGATGCAGTTGGTTGCCAACTGTTTTCTTGTAATGGAAACTGTAGATTAATCTAAACTACCTTTCCATTTCTGTGTTAATTCAGTCTCCTCTAAATGCTTTTATCTAAGATGACTGTTACAAAATAAAGGTCACAATTATCTTTTAACCCATGGGATGGAAAAATTATAATAGCCATTGATTCTTCCATGATTTCCTGCTGAACACATTTAGCCCAATGAGCTTACGAGTGAGCAAAATTAGTCTCCTGGCAGCTGTGCAGAGAGCACTGGTAGATGTGTTCTTAACAAGTCCCATGTCCTTCAAATGAAATGTCTCACAGGTTTCTTGCTTTCTTAGCTACTGAATTGAGATGTTGACAGTGGTGTCTTTTCCACACCAGGTTAGAGTCTGTGCGATTAGAATACAGAGCTGGACTAAAAAACATTGCTAATACGCTGATGGCCAAGGCATTGCAGGAATGTCCCAACTCGGGTAAGGAGGAGCTGATTTTTCTGAAATGCAGTTATTTTTGCTTGGTGGATAAGAGGGGTCCTCATTTCTCTAAGATGTTTCTGCTAGCCATGTCATCTTATGTACTGGTCAGATTCTGATATGCTCTAGGACAGTGGTTCTCAAACTGGGGGTCGGAACCGCTCAGGGGGTCGCAAGGTTAATACATGGGGGGGGTCACGAGCTGTCAGCCTCCACCCCAAACTCTGCTTTGCCTCCAGCATTTATAATGGTGTTAAATATATTTTGAAGTGTTTTTAATTGATAAGGGGGGTCGCACTGAGAGGCTTACTGTGTGAAAGGGGTCACCAGTACAGAAGTTTGAGAACCACTGCTCTAGGAGGTGGTAATTTCCTTCTGCAAAAGAAGTGTTGCAGATCTGTTAGAGGTCTCAGATGCTCTTGACTCTTGCCTGAAGAGAAGGGCATGGATTGTTCACAGGTGGTTCAGTTTTCCTGCAGTGTTGCTTGGATTGTGTTATCAGGCCCGTGCCTGGTATGTGGTTCCTGGTTTTCTGAGAGAGTATCTTGGACATGGGTGACTTTTTTTCTTTGAGGACTAAACTGATTGCTCCTGTTTAAAGGAGGTGCTGGGTTCTGGGGTTGAATGAAAGCACTCTGGGTTAACAGAGATCATTTGTGCAGTAGAACTGTTCAACGGGGTATGATTTAGTGGAAGAATTATGAGATTTCTTTGCATCTTCCATGACTAGATGTGCACTCTTAAGAATTCCTTATGTCGGAGCTTGTCGGCACCTTGACAACACTTCCATGGGATAGGTAAATATTATCCCCATTTTATAGACGGGGAAAACTGATTGTGTGCAAGTGACTTGCCCAGGATAACACAGCAGATTGGTGTTGGAACCAGGACTAGAATGCAAGTGTTCCAGTTCCCACCCTCCCACTAGGTCAAGGGTTTCTAAACTTTTTTGTAGCATGAGCCACGTGTAAGTATTTCGTCCTGAACCTCCTTCCCTGCCATTCATGATTGCTGAGTTCTCTTCCTAGTCACAATTGTATAACGGCCCTGTAGCAACTACATAGCTAAATAATCTTGAGAAAGAAAAGCTTTTTATTTTAAGGATCTTTTTTTTCCCCTGTTGTGGAATACCACAATAGTCATAAAACATGTGCTCAGGTCGGGTCATGGACTTTTCTACACTGGTACAAATATAGCCTGCAAGTAAAGAGAAGTCTTGAAAGACACAAAGGGAAAATTCTTGCTCTAAACTATCAGTGAAATCAGAACAGAGTTAAAGAGAGAGTGAGTGTGTATGTGCGTGCACGTGTGTATACGTACACCCCCCCTCCTCCCCCCCCCCCCCCCCACTGGTTAAGGCTACGATTATGTCACAGAGGTCGCGGAAGTCACAGAATCTCTGACTTCCAGAGACCTCTGTGACATTGGGGGCCCTGCAGCTGATTAACCGCTGCCAGCAGCAGGGGACCACTGCAGCAGCCCAGCCTCTGCGGGCAGCAGTGGGACCTCCCACAGCTCCCAGCCACTGCGGGGATCCCAGAGCTCCCCGGCCACTACTGCTGACGGGGCCCCCCTGCAGCTCCCAGGCAGGGGACAGGGTACTGGACCCTCCTCCCTCCCCATTTTGTCAGCCATTTTTTGAGTAAAAGTCATGAACAGGTCACGGGCAATAAACAAAAATTCACGGAAGCCGTAACCTGTCCATGACTTTTACTCAAAATATCCATGACAGAATCGTAGCCTTACCTATGGTGCATATATGGCTGCCACTTACAGGAAGCTATTGCACTGAACCACCTGATGGAATCCTGGCAGATGTGAGACTTCTAAAGATTTCCACAGCTCTAGAGTGTTCCACAGGTGTGGCTGGCTGACAAGTGAAGCAGAAGATTTCATGCTCCTTTGAGCAGATTTCCTTTTCAGCTTTTTGGCAATGAAAGAAAAATTCTCTGGGGATGTGTAACCTTAAACTTCTGTGGGCATTTAGAGCAGTTTTTCTGGGCCTCCTGTGACTGGCCTGTTTGGCAGCAGGGTACAGTAAGGATCATTGGGAGGACTTCAGCATTCCTCATCAAACTCTTCCAATTGCTTCCAGGTGGTACATTTTACAGCTTCTTAATGTTTTTCCTCCTGAGGGTAGTTACCTGTCATGTTTGCTTTGAAGAGATGAGAGTTGATGATTCTTAGGTAGATGTAGCGTGTCCTGTACAATTAAAATTACACACTGAACAATTTCACTCCTGGCTATCTGAAAGATTTGGTAACCTTTTTGTTCTGGGTCGTTCACTATGGGCTTATCTATCTATAGTGTAGCTATGCTAGCAGAGCCCTCTAGTGCAGATGCAGTCAAAGCTGGCAGAAGTTCTTCTTCTGCAGGCATAGCTGCACCATCTCATTCTTCTGTCAGCATAGTTGCATCTACACCAGGGTTTTGGTGGCATAACTGCGTTGGGTGTGATTTCCGCCCTCCCCCGGACTTCTAGCCGACAACTATGCTGGCAAAACTTTGTAGTGTAGACCCGGCTCAAGTTTGGCTACCGTCAATCTGCCAATAATGACCTTGGGTGGTCTATTATTTTCATACTAAGTGCCCCCTTCGTAGCAGACTACTATAAATGTATATATTTTCAAGGCATTTTAGTTTTGCTTCTAGTAATTTGTTTGGAGGTTGGCAGTGTTGTTGGGAAGTAGACCGGGTGCCTGAAGAGAGCTGTGGAAAGTTTCACCAGACCATTTATCCCTTCATGCTAACCACTGGAAAGTTGATGAGTGTATCCCACCTTGCGTCACTCATGAATTAACTGAATTAGTATGTAGGCAATGTGTGTGATTTGTCTGTACAATTAAAACATTTACCTGCACTTGTGGGATAACAGTGTTCAAACATTGCTTACAGAGGCATCCATAGATGTCCGATGGCCACCGCATAACACCAATCATGTGTTTTGCATGATGCAGGGTCTCCAGAAGAGGTTTGAGGATAGTTCTATATTGCACTCACTGTTCCCACTGTGTGGTGGTCACAGCTGAAAGTCTTTGCGCCAGCACATACCTAGTGTATGAAGTACCAAAAAAAAAATGGAAAACGAAGAGTGTGTCTTGTAGAAGCGCTTCATAGCTGGAGACTCAGTATTCAGGGAATAGCAGCTGATACTGCAGAGCACAAAACAAAGAAGCATTCAGTACAAAGTTAGTGAGTTTTGGTGAGAGCTATTTGAGTATTAGGTTGGTCCATCACACTATGATTATGAAGCACAAATATGATGCGGCTGTGAAGGAGGCTAATGCAATCCTGGGATGCATCCGACAAGGTATTTCTAGTAGAGTTAGGGAAGCATTATTACCATTATACAAGGCACTGGTGTACACTCATCTGGAATACTGTGTGCAGTTCTGGTCTCCCATCTTTAAGAAAGATGAATTCAAACTGGAACAGGTGCAGAAAAGGGCTACTAAAATGACCAGAGGAATGGATAACCTATCTTACAAGTGGAGACTTAAGGAGCTTGGCTTGTTTAGCCTAACAAAACGAAGTAGAAGAGGAGATATGATCGCTCTCTATGAATACATCAGAGGGATAAACACCAGGAAAGGAGAGGAATTATTTAAGTTAAGGGCCAACGTTGGCACTAGAACAAATGAATATAAACTGGTCATCAATAAGTTTAGGCTTGAAATTAGATGAAGGTTTCTAACCATCAGAAGAGTGAAGTTCTGGAATAGCCTTCCAAGGGGAATAGTGGGGGCAAAAAACCTAACTTATTTTAAGACTGAGCTTGCTAAGTTTGTGGAGGGGATGGTATGATTGCCTATAATGGCCTGTGGCCCATCCGTGACTGCTATTAGCAAATATCTCCACTGGCCAGAGATGGGATACTAGAGGGGGATGGCTCTGAGTTAGAAAGAATTCTTTCCCAGGTGTCTGGCTAGTGGTTCTTGCCCACATGCTCAGTGTTTCATTGATTGCCATATGTGGGGTCGGGAAAGGATTTTCCCCCGGATCAGATTGGCAGAGACCCTGAGGGAGTTTGCCTTCCTCTTCAGAGTGAGGCTTGGGTCATTGGGCTGTTTTGAACTAGAGTAAGTGGTGGATTCTCTGTAGCCTGAAGTCTTTAAATCAAGATTTGAGGACTTCAGTAACTCAGCCAGAGGTTATGGGCCTACTATAGGAGTGGGTGGGTGAGGTTCTGTGGCCTGCAATAGGTGGGAGTATCAGACTGGCCTGAACGTCTGAAGCAGTAATGACACACTGCATTCTGGATTTAAGCACCGACCATACTTGCTATTCTTGGTAAAATGTGGCCTTTTAATCTTTGACTTAACAAAAATTGGAATCTTTGTTTGGTTTTTAGGAATCCTATGGTCAGAAGCAATTTTCCTTGAGGCAAGACCACAGCGAAAGACCAAAAGTGTGGATGCCCTGAAGAAGTGTGAGCATGACCCTCACGTCCTGTTGGCTGTAGCCAAGTGAGTAGCTATTCCTATTTTTAATGAAGTAAAAATAGACATTTTGTCTCTGGACACAAGTTAAGGTCACATACACCATGAAAACGCTGCTGCAGATCAGTAGCATGTGGCCTTGCTTCAATACAGTATTGATATGCCTCAAAACCAGGAACAACCGATGCATCTGTATGGATGCCTCTGAGCATCAGTGCAAATCGGCTTCTTTCTCTTGGTTGAACAGAAGCTGTCTGCCTTTTCTCAGAGTACTAATGTCAGCTGGGAAGTGTAGGAGTGCAGTGGGGAACACTGTGGATTCATGCAGAGCTCTGTTCTAGTGTTAGGTTTAGGTACGCTAAAAACATCACTAGCATGGGATCCCTTGGTACATAGCTTTGACAAAGACTTGAAGTCAAGCTGTAATTGCTTTTCCTTTTGGGGACATGTTGTTCATGCCCATGGAAGCGTGGGGCTGCTTGTGCTGGCCACTATGCCAGTTTAATGTGGACAGGTGCTATTTAAACTCCCTGTCTCTTTCCTCTTAGTCCCCAAATTCTGCCAGTGGCCCATAATCTTGACCTGCCGTACTCTCCTTTTCCAGTTCTGCTGCTTCCATCATCCCATGCTGTTTCATTTTGGGCATTTCCTGAGTATAAGTTGCCGGTCATGCTGAATTTGCTTCTGTGAAGCAGGCAAATGTCCATTTAGGAATTGAAACAAAACTAAAATGTCATTTTCTCTTGTTGCCTAGACCAGATTTTGAGTTAATCTAATATTGAAGGGCTAGTATTTTAATCCACTGTGCTTCATGGCTTTTTTCCTGTTCTTTTATGTTACGAGCCTCCAGTCAAGTGCAGGGCTGACTTTAGTGCAATAGTGATTGGAAACAGCTGTTTTTTCTTTTGTAAATACCAGAAGAGTTTAATAGAGGAAGTGTGTAAAACAGTGCCCAAATCTTACACAACTTTTCTTGTAAGCCAAAGCAAATCATACAGGATTCACTCCAGTTACTGTGGCACTAGGGTCTGCCAGACAATGACAGCTGACTTCTTCAGTTTTGTCAGCAAAGAAGAAGAATTTTAACTTTTGCTTTAGGGAAACTGGTTCCAGGCCCCTTCTGGTACATCCTCAGACTATTTAGTAGCTAAACTAAACCCAGCACAAGTTGCTTCCACCTCCCATAATGAGTCTTCTGTATGTGTCTCTGATACTGTGGGCTGTAACATGATTGTGAAGAGCTTTTGTTAAAAGTAAATAAGTTACTACAGATTGTTACTTTGCAGGTGTTTTGTCTGTTTCCTATCAGTGTTCATGCTCTTTAAATCACAGTTTATCTAACACCGAACAATCAAGTGTATCATAAGGCTTAAAAAACAATCATGTTATCAAACCATAAAATTATACAACTTAACAGCTTAGCCAATCACACAGCCTCCTATTCATAAAGACCTCGCTAGTTTTAATTGAACTCTATTTGATGTACAGAAACCAAACCCATAAAATATTGACACAGTTGATTAGTTCTTGGGGGAAAAGGTTTTGAAATTCATGAGCAAATTTTAGAAATGGCGACAGGCAATGTGAGTGCAAAAGTTGGGGTTTAAACATCTAAATCCCACACCTACCCTTTTGCATTGAAACAGATTTTCAATGTACGTCTGTTTCAGTAGATTTTAGTATTTCGCTATATACATGCACTTGTACTGATGGCTCTGCTACACAGTACGATGGGTTCTGCTTCAGATCTTGGCCTTCATAAATATGGACACACTTCTGTAGGTACAGGACTTAAATAAACTCCAAATATCTAAAGATTGTACATAGCTTGTTAGATAGCTACAAGATCATCTTAAAACATTAAGAACGTGATGGTGGGAGATAGGATTGCCTGCATGAGCCTCTCATTTTATGAATTTGGTGCAGCATGGTTGACTGACAGTAAGCAAATAAGGGGAGAAGATTCTGCCTGGGTTTCAAGAAAATAACATTCTTTCTTCAGAACATCTGACTCTCCCCCCTGCTCCCTTCCTTGGTTGGGGGCTAATTTAGCCTTTTAGACTCAGTCAGCAATCAGCAAGGAAACAGTGGGTGTTCCATTTTACCTCTATAGTCCCTCTTCCACCTTCCCAGGCAGAAGGATCTCTTTTTGCAAAGCTGCCTCCTCTGTGCTGGGAGAGCCAAGAGCTGAACTTTTCAAGCTGTCAGGTGACCCGTTGTCTCTGCAAGTAGAGAGTGACCTGCCAACTGCTCACTTCTGCTTTTCTCCCTTTCCTTCCCACAACAGGTTGTTCTGGAGCGAGCGTAAAATAACCAAGGCCCGAGAATGGTTCCATCGAACAGTGAAGATAGATTCAGACCTGGGGGATGCCTGGGCTTTCTTCTACAAATTTGAGCTACAGCACGGCACTGAGGTAAGAGAGTGTCTCTCTCTATAGATAGAAGACATGACCTCCTGGGGAGTGATGCGGCGTCCCCACCCCACCTTCTGCTGGCTAACAGGACTGGTTTTGAAGCCCATCGTCACTATTCATTAATCAGCAACAGGAATCACTGCTCAGCCGTTCAGAGCACCCTGTTCCTAGCAGAGAGTGCATTGCCTCTGCAGTACACGTGGCCTGAGGAGTGAGAGGCTGAGACTGCTTTTGCTAACTAGATAATTATGAGCCGTGTGATTTAAAACATGATATTTTTAAAACCAGCATTGTTAATAGATGGAATTACTTTTTAGATTTCAGCTTCAGAAATTGCCAAATTCCTTTATGAAAGGAAATGTAAACCTACAAATGACTTAATCATTTTCTGAATCCAGAACCTTTCAGAGCAGCTATCTCAAAACTCTAAACAAAAAGGGTTCTGTATCTTAACAGACAACTTTATGTGGCTGGGAAACAATTGTGTGCAATCCTAGTGTTTGATTATAGATCAGAGCAACCGTCAGTCTAGTGTACCCCATCTGTGCTCTCTCTGTGGTTCTGCAGGAAATGGAAATTATCAAGCCAAATGCCATGTTGAACACCCTCTGCCATTGCACATCTATTCTTAAACTGAAGTGTGTACTTTCTGCTTTTGAAGCAGAGGATGGAGGATTCTTCAGGATCAGTTAGCAGTGCATGTAATGCTTGCCACAGCTCTTGTACGTTTAGGCAGAATATGCACTTCTCTCTACATGGACGCTCTGGTGTTCCTTAATCAATTCCTCTAGATATCACAGCATGGAAAAATAATACGGATTTTTAAAATTAGAAACTGCTACCCCAATAATAGATGCAGTAAAATGTGCACTGTTGAGCACTGACCCCAAGTACACTATCTTTTCTGTGTGGTTCTCCAAAGATGGTATTTCCACTCAGTCCACCGGGAGTGAATCTCACAAAAACTACCACCACAAAGAACTCGACACAGCTGGCAGCCTGTCTTTGCCATCCACAGTTACATTAGCTGATACAAAAATATATGAGCTCAACCTTCATTCTTCAAGGCATAAGCCATCCGCTAACTGCTTGGGGTTAGTAAGAAGTGTCCCTGTAGGTGTTGCTGGATAATTGCCCCTTATGAGGGTTTTTATCCCGTTCCCTGAAATATCGATATGGGTTGCAGTTGGAAATAACAGACCAGCTCCGATGGACCATTGTTCTAATCCTGTATGGCAGCTCCTATGTAATGCTCATGAGAAGCCTGGTGCTGAGGTGATGTGAGACTTCTCCGCTTCAGGAAGAGGCGTCTCCCTCGACATGCTGGATGTGTCTAGGCAACACAAGGAAAGCATGTGGGGGAGGGAAAGCTCAGTGGTTTGAGCATTGTTCTGCTAAACCCAGGGTTCTGAGTTCAATCCTTGAGGGGGCCACTTAGGGATGTGGGGCAAAATCAGTACTTGGTCCTGCTAGTGAAGGCAGGGGGCTGGACTCTATGACCTTTCAAGGTCCCTTCCAGTTCTAGGAGATGGGCTATCTCCATTAATTTAATTTAATTTAATCCACCACAGTTGCTTTGATTCTGCCTGATCTGCGACTAGGGAAACAGTTTCATTGTCTGGCAGCCTAGAATGTACTAAGACTAGGCTCTAGAGCACCGTATTAGATTCATAACTCCTCAAAAGGTCCGTTTTTGTGTGTTCTCTCAAAACCAATGTTAGATTCTGTTGAAGAGCAACTAGGGAAAGAATGTGGGGAAAGGTAGATGGTGGCAAACCAAACCTAGTTTGGTGGCCCATTGGGCTGCTTTGCAAAGCTGAACAGTTGCCATTGATGCCAAGCTTTAACCTTGTTATTCCTAACCCTGATTCCTGCCTCTTTCTTTTTTTAATGGTTTGTATAAGTCAGGGGTCGGCAACCTGTCAGAAGTGCTGTGCCGAGTCTTCATTTATTCACTCTAATGTAAGATTTCACGTGCCAGTCATACATTTTAACGTTTTTAGAAGGTCTCTTTCTATAAGTCTATAATATATAACTAAACTATTGTTGTATGTAAAGTAAATAAGGTTTTTAAAATGTTTAAGAAGCTTCATTTAAAATGAAATTAAAATATAGAGCCCTCCAGACCGGTGGCCAGGCCCCGGGCAGTGTGAGTGCCACCGAAAATCAGCTCGTGTGCCGCCTTTGGCACGCGTGCCATAGGTTGCCTACCCCTGGTATAAGTGCTTAACTTTCAGCACAATGTACCAATGCATTAGAAGGAATGGTAGAATCTGAAGATGGTCTTACTCAGCTAGGAGAAAGAATTGCGGGATTAAGATAGTCCCAACCTATTGTTTTTCTTCCTCTGTAGGAGCAGCAGGAAGAGGTGAAGAAGCGCTGTGAGAATGCTGAGCCCCGCCATGGAGAGTTGTGGTGTGAAGTGTCCAAGGACATAGAGAACTGGCAGAAAAAAATTGGAGAGATCCTAGTAGTTGTGGCAGCCAAAATTAAAAATGCCTTCTAGAGTATGCCATGTTCATCTGCCTCAATCATCCCTGCAGGACATGGCCCCTTTGCTAGACATGTTTCCAACACCCTCAACCCTGCCAGCGACACAATTGCTTAGAGCAAACAAAGGAAGTTGGTGGAACAAATGAGGACCCCTGGTTTTCCAAAAACATTATTATGATGAGGAGACGGTCCCTTCCACTCCTGCGGTAGTGCTTGAGACTGCACATTGCAGTCGTTGGTGAGGCATAATCCGATGCGTTTGTGTTGTAATGTCTTCTGTGAACATTGCTGGCAGGTAATGGTGCTGAGGCATTTTGCGTAGGTTTGATGGGCATTCTCATTCGGATGTCTGAACCCATTCTGTAAATTCAAACCTTAATTATTGATCGCTTTCTGATGACTTGCAGCTCCTCTAGTGTCTTCCCTGGCACGAGTTCTCTTCCTGTCAACCAGGCCTTCAGTTTCTTGGTGTTTGGCCCTTTTAATGATGACTCTTGGTCAACAAAGCTGTGTCCTTCATATTTAAGCATACTAAGGCTTAAAGAACGAGGAACCAAAGAACAATTATTGCTGAAAGACATGCCTGGAATGTTGGGATGGAAGGAAGGGCATGGTGGCAGAAACAGAAGGCAAAACTGTATGTTTGGTGTGACAAAGCTAGACTGGAACTGCCTCCTCAACTTTTGGGGTAGACTCCTGGTCAGATTTGTGTGGAAAACTATTCTTAATTGAGCATTTTGTGAAATCCAATAACCAGAACCTATTTTTAGTGATATTTTCTCTAATTTTTAAATGTATAATGTAAGCATTTTCTTTTAATGGAATAATTTCACTTTAATACTACAGCAGTAGTGTTAAAACAACATGGTAAAAATAACTCGAGGCTCTTTAAAGGAAAAATCCTTATTCTTAGAACCATTCAGAAGCCATGTGCTTTAACAACTGAAGCTGATCTCCAGGATGGATGGATATGAAACACTTCTCCAAGCTCAGATGGAGAAACTAGCTTGTTGCTTGGATGATCTTGGAGCACATAGACGATATCTGTGTCTGTAGCCCCTGTAAGTTGTCTTAGGTTCATGAGTAAAGTTTTCTAAACCTATGAGCAGTGCCATTTTTTGACCCAAAGGGGTGACTTTCATTCTCTTGATCCTCCTTTGAGTGAAAAGAAATGTCCTCCAGAGAGATTGTATCTATTTTATTCTTCACCAACTGAAAGATACAAATGTCTCCAACTTCATTTAATAGCATTTGTATATTAGGATATAGTGATTTTTTTTTAAAGTATGTATCATCATAGAATGCTGTTTGAAGAAAACCTGTCACTTGCCTGGAAAACTGTACAGATGTAATGGGATGCTATAAAATACAACTGTCTTGTGTTTCGCTTTGAATTCTATTTGACCACCATCTCCTCCATTGCAGTGACTGTTGCGTGTCAAAGAGTAAATGCAGGGTGGTTGGATGTGACTAGTGGGTGGGTACCCTATGAAAGGCCAGCTACTCCTTACAAAGATGCCCGTGTGAGGAATGTATCTGTCTGCCAAGCTTTCTCATATTCTTTTGCTTTAAGTGCCACATTGTTTAAGGAGTGGCCACTCTTGATGAAAGTTTTTCTTTCAGATTTATAAATGCGAAATGAAGCCCATGTGTTCTCTCTGATAGCTGGTGAGAACATGTGCAATTGCACCTTCATTAAGAAAGGTATACCTTATTAGTGCGCTGGGGGCTTGTAAACTTTCAAAGGCTCAGGCCTGCAGCTGTTCAGGCAAGCAGCATGGAGAGGGAAGACCTCCACTATCCCAAGAGATTCTCCACCACCAACAGTGACTTTCCTTCCGTCGCTGATGCAGAGGCAGAGTGACGGTTCTCTGCATGGGGGATGCAGGGGCTGAGCCTGGGTTAACCGTACTGAGAGAGGACAGGGGTGTTGGTTGGTTGGGGTGGGGAGGTATAGATAAGGGGATAGTTTAACTAGGATTTTCCAGAGTTGGGCCAAACTAATAATGGTTCTGCAGGGGGTCAGCTTGAAAAAATGTGTTAACAAATTAGACAAGGTGGGTGAGATCTTTTATTGGACCAACTTCTGTTGGTGAGAGAGACCAGCTTAAAGCAACAGAAGTTGGTCCAATAAAAGATACTACCTCACCCATCTTGTCTCTCTAATATCCTGGGACCAACATGGCTACTGCATATATTAACAAATGCCATTTACATACTGTATTGAGTACCTACGGGGCCTATCCTGACCCCTCTGCTTATAGATGGTGTCCTGTCTTCTCATCTGTCCTTTGTCTCTCTAGGTTGTAAGATCTTTGGGGGAGGGGACTTTTCCTCTTGGTTGGAAAGTGCCACAGTGCTAGAAACGTGCTAGAGTAATCAGGGCAGCAAGCTTGGGCTTCACGGTCACCCAGGTACAGAGGGCCTGAAAAGCCCTATATGGCCCTTAAGTCCTGCAGTGAGGCTGTGTTGGATGAAACACAGTGGGGTTTTTACACTCTGCTTTGGAATGGGCTGGGGAAGGGCTGTTGGATCCAATGTCTGGGAAAGTCCCAAATAGGGGAGAGGGGTTTGGAGGGTTGGGACGCTGACCCCCACCTCACATCCCTGCCCATTGGTTGAGGGCTGAATTCCATCCTCCCCTGCACTTGCTTTGTTCCCAACACAAAGTCCATTCATTCAGACTTTGTGTGAGATTGGAGTGAACTTTCCCTTATTTAAAGAGCATAAAATGTAGCAACATAATACAAAAATTCACCTTCAGGGTAAATGATCTCTCTCTCCCAGTGCTGAGGCACAGAATGGGGTATTGAAAGCATCGGGATGTGAGGGCTATGTACCAACACATGGATTTGTTTCCTTTCGAGCATGAAATTCCTCTTGCCACCCAGTGTTTCTACCTTTCACCTTATCTTTCAAAATGCCCTTAATTGTTGATGTCTTTTTTTTTTTAAATGGACCCTTCCCTTTACCAGCTTCATGTTTTTAGATGCCTTAACATTTTGAAAATGGATTTTTGAACCTGTCAATTTTATTTATATGCACATAGAGCACAATAAACATGTCTGGATCCAGCCTTCAGTTGTGTGTCCTTGAATATACATAGTTCCTCCTGCTTCAACTGATGATCCAGCAGACCATTCCCCTCTCAGATCCCTCTGGAAGGCTTAGTGCTGCCAAGACGTCTGTAAGAATTGGGTTGGGTTATTCAGGTATCCTAAAAGCCACACATTTTTGCTTCATGGTTCTGCGCCCTCTTCTTTGCCAAGTAACTATTGCTCTTAACCCATTCCTCCTTTGTTGTTCCATTAATCTTTTTGTTACATCATGTACGAACGTAGTTGTAAACTTGTGGCATGGGCCATGTCTTATTAATACCCAGGTGCCTAGCATGCTTTTGGTTGCTGTCAAATCTTTAGATTAGCCATCCACAATTTGTTCTGTAAAAATCATGGTGAGAAGAATTTAAATTAGGTTTAGCTGACTTCACACTCCAAATATGATTCTGAGCTCATTCATCTGAGGCCAACAAAGGTACCTTGTTAACCTCTCTTTATTTGTGTGTGTATACAGAGCTCAAGTGTCTTAACCATATTACACTGGCTACTCACACTAAGTTCTATAAATTGATAACATCTAGCAAGATGATTTTATAGTACAAAGTGCAGTTATGAGCACTAAAGTAGGTTAATTCCATTTTAGATCCACTTTCAGAAATTGCTAATTGAAACATATTGCTAGTAGAAACTGAAAGGGAAAGGTCTGGCTTGCCACGATCTGGGATCTTTGACAGCAGTTAGCTCCACAGCAATAATTCTCCACCCCAAAAGGTGGTTCTGTGAGAGCAAGGATGGAGCCAACACCTTATTTCCAAAGCAGAATTCCCAAGTGTTTCCTCTTGCTTTTGTTTCAGGATCTTCAAACCTCTGGCGGCTTGGCCTAGGCATGGCTGTCTTCAGCAGTAGCAGTTCCATAGTGTTTTGGAAGCCTTACCTGGCCCTCTGCATGCCTGATGGAGCTGGCACCATGTGCTTCAGTTTGAGACTGGCTTTCAGAAGACTTTCTGGAGGTGGTGGTGGTGGTGGTTGAAACACTGAGGAAGGGAGATGGTTATTTATTACCTGTAGTGTGGTAGCCCTGTCCTAGACTTGGCAATGTATATACATGGAACAAGGTCCCTACCCCAAAGAGTTCACAATCAAGGTTTGAAATGTAGGTTGAAACCCAGAAGGGACTTGCCCTTGTTGCTTCATAGACAGGTCATAAGAACGGCCAGACTGGGTCAGACCAAAGGTCCATCCAGCCCAGTATCCTGTCTGCCGACAGTGGCCAATGCCAGGTGCCCCAGAGGGAGTGAACATAACAGGTAATGATCAAGTGATCTCCCTCCTGCCATCCATCTCCACCCTCTGACAAACAGAGGCTAGGGACACCATTCCTTACCCATCCTGGCTAATAGCCATTAATGGACTTAACCTCCATGACTTTATCCAGGTCTCTTTGAAACCTTGTTATAGTCCTAGCCTTCACAACCTCCTCAGGCCAGGCGTGCCACAGGCTGTCCAAAAGCACCTTCTTCAGACAGGTACTTCATCAGCACCCCGAAAATCCCACCCTCCGCACACTGGGACTTGACTCCCAGCAGTTTGCGCTGTAAAACAGAGCGATCAGACCTGACCCTCCGCTCCCAGGCAGAGACTTTCTTCTCCAGCTCCTCTATAACCAAATTGTTATAATCTGCCATGATCCTACCACTCTGCCGAGACTTTAAGAGGCTGCTTCACTCTTCCCCCCCCCCCCACACCACACACGCCGCCGCCTTTCCCCTTCTTCCAGCTCTGGGAGGGCA